GGGGTAATTTAATATTCTGATTCTGATATGTAACCAAATGAGCAAGTGGCTTAGGGAGGCGTGTGGCGCAGTGGACTAGTGCGTTGGTGTTCGGATCAGGGGGTTCAAACCCCACTGCAGTCAGCATGTCGTTGTGTCCCTGGGCAAGACACTTCACCCCAAATTGCTCCTGTGGGGATTGTCCACAGTATTGAGTATGTAAGTCGCTTTGGATAAAAGCGTCTAACATGTAACATGTCAGAACAGAAGCAAAGTGAGATACTAAATACTTATCTCCAGGAAATTAGCACCAAAAGGAGTTTCACACCCTCAAAAGGTAGCGTTCACACACAGATAAAACCAGGCTAGCCAATGGCATACTCAATGATATTGGTAGATTATGTTATTATTAATATTTATTTGTTTACATACTGTATATGTGAAGGATTATATGCAACGAGGAGGTCAATATTGTACCTCTCGTTGCACAGTATCCATTACTTACTTCTCGGAAATGTCCAAATCAACCAATCACATTTCCTTCACATAAACATTATCGTGTGTCTTTTTTTCCACAAGAGGCATACGTTAAGGCTTAGCATCAGTACTAGTTTGAATGTTACTGTTGGATCAATTACTCAATTAACTTTACTCATAGGTTACCCAGAATGACTTTGAACTGTGGCTCACTGTAAGATAAGGCTAACATTTGAAGTGATGTCCTCTGAATGACACTAGCCTGTCCCATCCTGTTCCTCATGAGTTACCGGAGGGGACAGATCCAGTCTTAATGTACGAGGAGGAACAAACGCAGAATAAAAGATGGTGAAAGAAATGCACAGTAGGGGGGGGGGGAATGGATTCTGACAAAAATAGGGCCATTTCTCTCGGTCTTAAAAAGTGAAGCGGTCCTTTGGGCAAAGCAGCCGGCAATTGTCTCAGACGAAAATGTGGACAGTGCTCGAGGCTTTCCTTCCCCATTTCAGATTCAGTCTCCGTCCAGAAATAACCTGCCGAGCTTTTTCCTGTAGCTCTTACCGTCCTGCACTTACAGTATGATCGAGCTAGCTGGGTCACATATGGATGAGTCAGGATATAAGAATATATGTTCGTTTTAAAAGCAAATGTGTGTAGCTTTGGTCGGCGCATTACAATAACCCTGCTATGGGATGTATAGACTCTTCTTATACATTATTCTGGCTGCTTGAAACTGTCAAATTAGTCTCCTTGTCGTTAAAATGCTTCTACTGATGTGTGCTTTAATGTGTTAGCTTACACTATATTTCAGCCTTTTATCTGCACCTTCACCTTTGCTGTAATGCTGTACATTTCCCACGTTGCAGGACTTATAAGAAATGTCCGATTTTGATTCTTAAAGTAAGATGTTTCTTTTCAAATGTACACAGTGTTAATACAGTATGCCAGGTGGGGTTAGCTACATGCTATATGATGTCAAATGTTAAAGATTTAGGAAACAATAAGACTATGTATTTACAAAAAATCATAACACATTGATAGGTGTAGTTTTTGTGCGGGAACTTATTTAAACGCCAGAGTAGAGCTTCATTTAACGAACAAGACTTCATCTGAAGAAGTGAGCCCTTTCTTGGGGTCGGAGACTTCTGTAAAAGAGTTCAAAAACGCCTTAAAAAAAACACATCTTGCAGGAAGGAAACAAACTAAGAATGACGTGCCGAACATATGAGGAACTGAGAAGAGCAATTCAGGCTTTGCACATTTCTGAACAATCTTTAAAAGATATCAATTGCGGGAAGATAAAAAAAAAAATCGGTGGTATTTCCCAATAACATCTCGACTGGAACGCTGCCATGCGGTCGGATTTTTCCACTAGCTGTTGAAATCAGAGGAAAGTGTGTTCTCTCTTCTTATGCAAATTTAATAAGAACTCAGATTTAGCTCTGTGTTTCCTGAGCTCCTCCTCATCTCTCTCTCTCTCTCTCTGCGGGCCCCCTGGTCAGACAGCTGACTTGTATATTATATACAGACACAGTATGAAATTAAAGTACTTCATCACATGCAAACTGTCTTAAAGTAGTCCTGCACGCTGTTAGCATGGAGGGGGAGGGGTTTCATCTCACATGGACAGAAAGGAAAGCAGAAGGCCTTAAAGGAGAGGTGTCATGCTTTTCCGGTTATTACCCGTCCCCTTGTGTGTTATGAAGGTTTTTATGCATGTAAACGGTGTGCAGAGTCAAAACCCTCAAAGTACACCCTGTAGCGAGTAAAACTCTAACACAGAAAATACCTCCCCAAAACGCCTCGTTGGAGATACGTCACTGCCCATTTGATTCTTCCATTTCGTTCCGGGTACGGCATGATGTCAAGCGGTACCCGGAACGAAATGGACCAATCCGTGGAGCCGTTACGTTACGTCCGCGGAGCCGTTACGTTAAGCCCCCGCTGATTGGTCCAAATTGACCAATCCACGGACTTCCTCACACACACATCTGTGTGCAGGGAGCAGGCAGCTCAGCTGATTTCTCCTCCCTGGCTGCAGGCTGATAACAAACAGTTGGGATCGTGGAGAAATTCTCTCTGCAGACCCATTCTCACAGCGTTTATCAACCTTTTTCTTACTCAATATCAAGCCACACTTATTGTTTTTACTTCGACTGTGAGTTTGTGTGTGCTCAGGATGAGTTTGGCTGTGTTTCGCTATGTATCCTAAACAAGGAAACAACACTTCCAAGGAGCTCAGCGCGATTCACAACGTCCCGACCAATCAGAGCACACTGTGCTCACAGGGAGGGTGGGGGCTGGAGCTATTGGAGCTACAACGAGCCGTTAAAGGCAGAGAGTGAAATTCAGTGAATACACGTAGTTTACAGAGATGCTGTATGAGAAACCAATGTGAGTTTGGAAAAATGCACAATATAAATCTATTTTAGTAGACCTCAACAATGGAATTATGATCAGTGGAAATGACCATGACACCTCTCCTTTAAGATAAAGACTCTGTTCAACTGGTGATCCTGAAGCGACAGTTCTCTGAAAATGTGTTATGATGATCTGCACGTTAATCTACCTGCATGTCTGGCGAAGCACGTTCAAATCATTTATCGTTACGATCCAAACGGGATGATAGGTCACACAAAGCTTTTATAAAAAGGGGACAAACGAAGTGTTGTTGAGGATCAGAATATTTAGTTTATCCCAAGGGGGAATTGGGTTTTGTGATTGGAGCTCCATCATAAAATAAAACGGAAAAAAATCGTAAATGTATTCATATGAACATAAGAATTTAAACTAAATAATGTGGAATAAAAATGTTAAATAACACCTTAAACAATAGGTATGGGCACAAACAAAGTTCAAGGAAAAATGTGGATTCATAAATAAAAGAAAAATATATGTGTATGAACATAAGAAGTTAGTAAAAATGTGCAATAAAATCTAAATTAAATGGATTTAAAAAATGTTTATAAACATAATAAATTGAAGTACAAATGTGGATTAAATTAAATACAAATAGAAATATTTGTTGTTAACACATGTCAAAGTAAAAAATGTTCAAGACGTAAAAGAAATACTGTAGATTAAAAATTGAATTAAATGTATTTAAATATACATAAAAGCAGGAGGCTGTGGCTCAGTGGGTAGTGTGCTGAACTTTGAATCAGGGGGTAGCAAGTTCGAGTCCCACTTCAGTCAGCATGTCGTTGTGTCCCTGAGACACCTCACCCCAAATTGCTCCTGTGGGGATTGTCCACAGTACTGAGTGTAAGTCGCTTTGGAGAAAAACGTCTAACAAGTGACATGTAATGTATTGTAATAAAAATAACCTTGAAACCTGTAGCCTTTCAGTAAAAATAGCAGCAACCTTTGAGCTAAAGGGAAGTTCTTAAAGTCAGAAAAGATGTCAACACAGAGAAAATGTGAAGCTTTCTCTCAATCCTCTGCCTCTTCATCCTCATCCTGCTCGTCATCACTGTGACGCTCAACAAAGGGATTATGATGATTGCATTTAAAATCTAAAGAGATTCTCTGAGCAGGAGATGTACTTTCTAATATCTTATCTCATCAAGGTCACAGTGACATAAACGCTTTTTAAGCAACCAGGAAGCACGAGGCTTTGAATAAGCTTCTGAAGCCTCGGGGTTGGCACTTTAGATATTTCATAACGGAACAAAAAGCTTCTCTGGCCACTTTAATCACGGGAACTTTTGTGCAGTCAAATACATGCAATGCTCCTTTAAAATACTCTGCAACAGTCCAGAGGAGCTCGAGCTAACGTTCAGCTGTTTTGTTTCCACGTGTAATTAGCATGGGTGTCGTCACATGACGCATGGTGTTGTGGATTTGAGGCTGAAGCCCGGGGCTACTGATATTCGGGTATTTTAACGAGGGTTTTACAGATACATGTGACAAGTATATGATAGTGTAACATATAGAAAAAATAACATGTTTTTGAATCTAAGATGAAGACATAACACTGTAGATGTAATCGTCTGATATATTGACATATTTAATATTTATTTATATGTTATATTATTTTTTAAATGTATAATATTTTTTGAATGATAAAAGAAAAAGCTGGTTTTGCGACTGAACATTTTTGAATCTTTTAATTTTATTTGAATAATCATTAAAAAAAATCGATGGCGCAGTTTTGGCAATGAACAGCTAAAGGCTTAAGCTTTCTGAATAAGCAATGTAAATAAGACATTAAATGAATATAAAATAGTGAGAGAAGATATAGAAACAAAAGATTGCAGGAGAATTGTGCAAGAATAAGATCAAATGAAACCAAATGTAAAATCAAACACTGTATGTTATTTTAATGTTATTAAAGCACTACTTATATCCTACAGATGTTTTCTGTTCAGACTCAAACTAAACATCTCCCGTACCTCGTGTAACCAAGTTTAATTCAACGCACTACGGATATGATTTACTACACAGGAAATAAAAACAGCAAAAGCAGACTTCCCAGCAGCGCATCGTCATGAGTAATACAGACATGTCTTGACATTTGAATCGAATACCTTGTTTTCACTTACCTTGAGGACTTCTCCACGCTTGAAACTAAGCTCGTCATCAGCAGTGGCTTTGAAATCGTATTTTGCTATGGCCTCCATGCTTGTAGTGGTTACTGGAGAGAAAAAAAAATCACTTGCTTGTCTGTGGTTGTGTTTCAGGGGTTGAATAAAAAATAAAAACACGTATCCAGGCTCCTGTGGCCAGATAATATCCTCCGAGTCTCTCCTCCCGTCTATGACCCGCTCCTTTAGGGCTGAGACCTCACATACAGGTCACAGGAAGGTACCTGCAAAACAACAAACAAGATGCAATTAGATGCAAATATATAGAGGAACAACCATGTGTAAAGGTTTTGAGCTACAGTGTAGTTGAACAATGAACTTCTTAAGCTCCTACAACAATGCAACATACTTTACACTCAAGACATAAAGAAAAATACATTAAATAGTGCGAGAAAAGTGAATTTTAAGACCTCATCGCCACTTGGAGTTTTAACCGGTTACATTGGCGACACACTTTACCTCACATTGACTATATACAGTATTGATTGTCCTTCCTCCTTATCTTCCAACCATTTGGACGCAGACTTGCATTTCCCCATAACGATGTTGTTTAACGACCGGCGTAAACGGACCTCCGCGCGCTATCAAGCAGTGAGCGTGCGATGTCCTGTTCAGATGACGTCAAATCCAACGGGATGCCATAAATAAACTACACAGAATCACACTACACACCTACGCAATGATTACATTCAGGCAGACTGTAGAATACAACCTCTTTGGACAATTTATATACTTATTGAGAACTAGCTACAAAATGTAATACCTTGGAAAATGCCGTTTAATACTTTTTAGTTGCCTTAATTTTCGCTAAATTGATTTATCAACTTGTAATACTTTTTAAGACCCTGCGGACACCCTGTGTGACCAAAGAAATCCCAAATTCAGGATCAATATAGTATATCTTATTTAATCTAATCTAATATAAAGTACAGGTTATTGGGAGCTGCAAGGATATCCAGGCCCAAAACTCATATTTACTATGATTCTTATTTTTAAAAAGTAAATGAGAATGAATCGCAATTGCAAAAATCTGTCAAAATAACTTATTTTCCAAATCCAGCACAAATACTAATGTCAAACATATGTGTAAAGTGTTTACAGGCTACAGCTGCAGTTGATCTGACCAACTATAATAAGAGGATAAGAGGACATTGATGCCAAATTCACTCGTTCAATCAATAGTAACTCGTAGTGACTTTCTTGACAGCGTGCCACCTGGCCTGGAGACGGATAAGTCACTCAGTATCCTTCTTAAAGCTGACAGTGATATGCCGGCTAACCCTACAGTTGCTGAGTTAAATGGATAAAGCCGTGTTATCTCATTAAGTTGTTCTCCAATATGCCACCGTGTAGCTCTGATAGCTCTCACACCAATAAAGCCCTGCATCGAATAACACCGGACAGATAGACAACTAAACACGGTGGCAATCTTATGGCAAATTATCTATTTCTTTAAAAAAACAATCCATGTTTTTCTGCTGCTGGATAATCAGTTAATATGTTACAGTACAGACGATCAGTGGTGGAATACTGTGTACACTTTGTTACAATGTTATTCTACTTTATTATTGATGTAAAAAGTACAATATTTCAGTCTGATATTAAGTGAAACAGAAGTAAAGTGACAGAAAATAGATATCCTTCAAGTAAAGTACAATTTTGAGGTAATTCACCTGAGTATTATCATGTTATACTACTTCTACTCCACTACATTTTAGAAAGCCAATATTGTAATTTTTACTCCACTACCTTCATCCTATACTTGATTAAAGTTATTAGCAAATACAATTGATAAAATCGGTGAATTAATACCTATTTGTCATATCATTATAGGTTAAGATATCCCCCAGCAGTATACAAAGTAATTACAATAAGCTCGACACTAAGCAAACTCATTAAAAGATCAAAAATAATCCAGTAATGTAGTATAAATGATTCAGGAGTGGGCCATTATGGTTTTAATGTTTGGTATTTTAAGTATATTTGGATGTCAATACTTTTCTACTGTACTTAAGTAAGGTTTTTAATGCAGGACTGTTACTTGTTATTGTCTCTTTTACCGAAGTATACAATTTGAATACTCTGCTGCAGATACAGGACAGCTATCTAGTCATTTGACGTAACGGTACGTATTAAAATGTAGCCTGCAGCCTTTGTTTACAGCAGTATAACTGTCAACAACACCATGAAGACAGACGAACAACAAAGCACACAGGGACAGAAGTACATCAGTGAAGACAAAGTGAAGAAAGGGGAAGCTGAAGACGAAAGGGAAGCCATAACCCTGAAGCATTTACAACCTTCTCACGGTCCTTTACAGTCAAAACTATGGCAGAAATATACAATTTATCACATTTTAAGCTCACATTTTCACTGTTTTTCACGCCACTTGGAGCAGATCTTGAGAGCTTCTTCCATCTCTGCACTTTACACATATAAGGCTTTGAATGCAGGACTTGTACTTGTTATTTATACAATTTAGTAATGCCTCTTAAGCTACATCAGTGAAGACAAAGTAAAGAAAAGGGAAGCTGAAGACGAAAGGGAAGCAGTCTGCCACAACCCTGAAGCTTTTACAACCTGCTCATGATTCTTTACAGTCAAAACTATGGCAGAAATATACAATTCAGAGCATTTTAATCTCATATTTTAACAGTTTTCTCACGCCCCTTCACGAGTCTATGGCCCTTATTTACATCATTAGGGTCTAAAAAGTTGTAAAATGTGCTTCTGACTTTGATAGGCTTGACAAGCATAATGTCCACTTGCCTTCTAGTCTGTATCTTTGTATTAAACTATGGCAGACATATACATTTGAAAGCATATTTAGCTCTAGTTATTGACTGTTTTTCACACCACTTCAATGGGATTTAAGCACTTCTTCCACCTCTGCAATACGTTAGTACTTTACTCATATAAGGTTTTGAATGCAGAACATATACAACCTTCTCATGATTCTTTACAGTCACAAATATACGATTTTTAGCATATATAGCTCACATTTGGACTGTTTTTAACGCCACTTTGGGACAGCCACAACCCTCAATCATTTACAACCTTCTCATGATTCTTTACGGTCAAAACTATGGCAAAAATATAACATTTTTCGCTCACATTTTGACTGTTTTTCACACCACTCGGAGCGGATCGATTCCGTTCCAGCTAACAGAGAGATAGCATGCCGGCTAACGGTCGTACAACAATAACTGCGATGCGGTGTGACTACTAAACTTAACATATATATATTAAACCAGGCAAAACGGGCACATTAACGCTGACACTACTCACCACAAGTGTCCAGTTGGGAATACACACGAGCTAAAGCGGGAGGCCTACGAGCTAGCTTCACGTTGGCAGATGTGAAAAGGCAGAAAACACCTTTTTTTCGTAACGCTAGCTGTTGTTGCTAGCTCAGTTAGCCCGCAGCTAAGCTAATTGAAGCAAAGACCTCCAGGAAGTGAAGCCGACCGTTGAGGCAGATTTTTGAAATTGGCACAGTGGCCATGAAGCGGTGCTACAGCTTCCGTGGCGTCATAATGGCCCAAATAGACTCGTTCCCCATTGATTTACATTGGGGAAAGTCTATCAGAATCAGAATATAGGGGACATTTAACAGCAAAAGTGAAGAGAGAGACAACTAATAAAACACTATTAGATAACGGAATGCAAATAGTATTAAATAAAAACGTTTTTTCCAATTTAAAACTAACATTCGTGATACATTTCTCCAATTTACATATTGTCAAGTCAGTGGATTGGAGAGTATTCTATTTTATTCTGTAAATATTTTATAATGTTTAAATACTACTCTGAATATAGGTATTGTTTACTGAGAATATGAATGTATTGTTTTTAAATTGTAAAATGTTTGCCTTTATTTTATTTGTATTTTTTCTAGTTCACATATTCCATAATACTGTTTATAATTGTTTCCACTTTTTAAATAATGTCCCAATTTGGCATAAATTAAGTATACCATTCATTTGACTGACAGATAGCAGCAGATTGTAGGCGGGGCTTAAGATAAAACCTCCACTGCGCATGCTCAATGGGCCCACATACGGGTACTTTCGGAATCTACAGTCGCTCCTTTTTCGGGCTTCAAGCGCCTCTGAGCAGCTCTCATAGGAATGAACGGCATCCTCCACCAGTTCTCTTTAAAACATCCATGCACTGAACTTGACTAGCCTGCGTCGGGTAAAGGAAACACTGCACAACTTTAAAGAGAAAAGCATTAAAAACTCACCACTCAGAATATATTCCGTTTCGATGCTGCCACCGTAACAAAACCCTGTATGGTGTTTCTAATCCACTCCCTGCTTCTTCCTCTGGAGAGGCAACAAAACGCTGTAATGTCTCAGGCTGATCGTCCTACATGTAGCTGCTAGCAGAAGGGTTTATTTCCGCTTCCTTCCCCCAGAACAGGGAGGGTCTGCCCGCTGTTGTGACTGGAGCTCCTCCCTGTCAGTCTGTACCACCATGGACTGTTACTTATTTATTTATTAAGCTTACTATATTTATTTATTTTCCTGACATGTGTATAGTTTACTTTACTGCATTACTTGCCAGAGGTGGGAAGCAACTAAGTAGATTTACTCAAGTACTATATTTAAGTTACATCTTGAGGTACTTGTACTTTACTTGAGTATTTCCACGTTATGCTACTTCTACTCCACTACAGTTCAGAGGTAAATGGTGTACTTTTACTCCACTACATGTATTGAATACCTTTAGTTACTTTACAGATGTGGATGAATGATGTGAAATCTAATCAAGTGTTAAATCAGACTTTAGTTCCACCTGGAGTAAATCCACAAGCTACCCTGCAGTATACAAACTAGCTGCACCTTTACCAGCTTTGAGAACACTTTCATGATCAATCATTATAAAACATATCATATATATTATTCTGAAATGGACCAATCTGCACAATGACTACTTTTACTGTCGCTACTTTCACTATATTTTGATGATAATACTTTTCTACTTTTACTTGAGGAACATTTTGAATGCAGGACTTTTACTGTAACAGAGTATTCCTACACTCTGGTACTTCTACTTTTACTCAAGTACAAGATCTGAGTACTTCTACTTTTACTCAGGTACAAGATCTTAGTAATTCTACTTTTACTCAAGTACCAGATCTGAGTACTTCTACTTTTACTCAAGTACAAGATCTGAGTACTTCTACTTTTACTCAAGTACAAGATCTAAGTGTAAATAGTTAAGTAAAGTTCAAGTACCTCGAATTTGTACTTAAGTAGCTAACAGTACTTGTTTAAATGTAGTTACTTACATCCCAGCACTGGTGTTTTACCGCTGTCCTCAACTGGCTTGACTTATCCCTGTGATTATTATAAGCAGCTTAATACTAATACCAAATAATAGTATGTACTTTATGACTTAGATCTATCTATACAGTGTTGGAAGAAGTACAAACATGATTCACTGAAGTAATAGTAGATTATATTATTGTAATTAACTCATTGACAGATTACGTTACATCAGACTTTTATAGCTGCTCTCCTCTTTCCATCTATATTCAGGGAGACTCAAATTAGAGGGCAAGACAACATACATTATTCCATTTCAGGCATTAAATATTTAGTTAGTGTGGCAAGATGGAACATCAGATAAAATGGGATGGATAAGGTTAGGGCATCCTGATATATGTAATATATGACAAGGCTGAAAAATAACACAGCGCTTTGACATAAAAGTAAACAATGCATTAGGGACAAAAACGGCATCGTATGCAATCATATTATTCACAAACTCATGATTGATGCCTGGACATGTAGCTAAATGTGCTGTAAATGTGCACCAAATGTATTATTTTAATGATTTCTGGAACAATGTATTGAAAGAAGTGGTCCTATATTGGATTAAATTGTATTCTTTCTACTTTGTTGAACCCAAATTGCGTTTTGTAGCATGTTAACACGGATGTGCACATGAGTTAAACATAGAATACAGCTCTAAAAGGTATTGAATTATCAACAGTTGAATGATATATATCTATAGAGTATACCCAATATAAATATACAGAATAAGTAAGAATACACTGTAATACACCAATCTACTAATACAAAATATGAACAATGGCTACTATACCCTATTTATTTGACATCTGCTTGATATGGATATAGGAGGGTGCATTTAAATACCTGGACAATGCTGACACCTAGTGGAGAAGTCTAACATCTAAATGCAGCTTTTTGCAATATGACATGTTACTTATGATTACTGACAATATACTGTAGAATACAAGCTGTTTATTAATAATACAAATTAAATGGTATAGTATTTTTATTTCACAGGATGCTATGACACCTTAAAAACATAAAATAAGATAGCATTTAATATAAGTTAGTGGCTATAATATAATAGTACAAATGCAGCATGTGTACCCGATTACAGACATGATATATACATGTTACACACACTATATTCATACATGATTAATACAATATACACACATAGTATTACATGGAATAGAGGGAGGTAAATAGAAAAGAGAATACATACAATAAAATAAGACAAAAGTTAATCACTGATAACCCAAACAGTAAAAGTAAGACAGAAATGAGACAAAATGATTAAACAGAAAATATTATAAAATAAAAATGTGATTTAAAAATACAAATATCTATAATTAAAAAAATGAAATATAAAAAATTACAAAATTAGAAATGACACTTTTTGATTGAAAATGGAAATTAAACAAATAAACAAAGAACAATAGAAAGTGTGTACTGCTTATTGTAAGCTAAGTACAATTTGGTATTCAGCCTCTGTTTCAATAAGTAATTGTAAATCATGCAAATTCCCGTCAGAGGGTCATAGGATGAGTGCATTGGTATTATGGGATGATACATCTTTTCATAATATGATGTACAGGACTCACAGTAATGAAGCTCAGCGCAAGTTCAACCAGGAAGACCTTCTTTACTCATTAATTTACTATTTCCATGTTACTCTCTCTCCTCTCAATAAGTGATCGGGGGCGTCACTCCCCAGCTTAACCCTTCACTTCGCTCTATTCTCACAAGCCTATCATAGCGCTCTGCTAACCCTTTTAAATCTGCTCTCCCACCTCTGTCAGCTGTCATTTCAGGTGACTCGACGCAACCCTCCTCCACCCTTTTTTTCACCTTCTGTCCCTCTGAATCCAGGGTCAAGCTAAGCCCCTCCCCTTCAGACCGAACCCAACTATCCATTCACCACCACCAGGGTCAAGCTAAGCCCCTCCCCTTCAGACCGAACCCAACTATCCATTCACCACCACCAGGGTCAAGCTAAGCCACTCCCCTTCAGACCGAACCCAACTATCCATTCACCACCACCAGGGTCAAGCTAAGCCCCTCCCCTTCAGACCGAACCCAACTATCCATTCACCACCACCAGGGTCAAGCTAAGCCCCTCCCGTTCAGACCGAACCCAACTATCCATTCACCACCACCAGGGTCAAGCTAAGCCCCTCCCCTTCAGACCGAACCCAACTATCCATTCACCACCACCAGGGTCAAGCTAAGCCCCTCCCCTTCAGACCGAACCCAACTATCCATTCACCACCACCAGGGTCAAGCTAAGCCACTCCCCTTCAGACCGAACCCAACTATCCATTCACCACCACCAGTGTCTAGACCCCGGGGGGTTTCATCGGATCGGTTCTCCCCTCCCGAATGATACTCCTGCACAACGGGGCCTAATCGCCAAAACTCCATTACATTCATTTGTGTATTCCTGGCAATAAATATGTATTTTTACATCAACACCGTCTCTCCTGATTGAAAAGCCACACGGTGCTGCAGGGGATAAAGATGGACATGTACTCTTTTAACAAGGAGACACCTCTCTCTCGCTGTCCTTCAAACTCAAATATCTTTATTGACATGAACATAATGACATTGTGAAAGCATTGTCCAAATTATGGAATTTATAACATGCATCTATACATAAACCTTTGGAGACTATGTGTGTTTGTGCATTTTGAACAAAAGCAGAATTAACATGTTTTTTATTAAGGAAAAAAAATATATATATATAAGGAAAACAAACACATTTAAGTAAAAACGTCCCTTCAACCCTCATGCCATTTCCTCACACCTTAATGTGACAATACAGGCTAATTATAGATTATTGTGCAGTATATATACCCATATAACGTGGAAGAATAAGAGAGGAGAGAGCTGGTGTAAATAAAGCCTCTCTGTCTGTCTGTCTGTCTGTCTGTCTGTCTGTCTGTCTGTCTGTCTGTCTGTCTCTCTCTCTCTCTCTCTCTCTCTCTCTCTCTCTCTCTCTCTCTCTCTCTCTCTCTCTCTCTCTCTCTCTCTCTCTTTCTTTCGTTGGCTTTTTCTTTTTTAGTGCGAAGCAGGAGGGTAACAAACAGCCTTTCTGCACGTTGAGCTCTCTTTGAGTGGATTTTAGTTTTATTCGCTTTACAATGCTCTTCATTCAGTCTTACTGGACTCGCTCAAAACAGATATATTATATATTATCATTACTTTAAAGAAAGACCACGAAAAGCTCTTTGGGATGGACTTTGAAATCATTTCAAATTCATCTTTTTCTCCCTTCAGTTCGGCTGAGAATCTAACAGAAGGTAGGTTGTTTTGTTTCTCCTCTGTAACAAAGCTTTGTCTTAAGTGAAGTACCTGCTTTTAGCTTTGGTTGATGTTCTGAGTGGCTGCCTTCAAGGTTTATTGCAACTTATTGTGAGTCGCTTTGGTTTGAGTGTGAGCCAAAGGAAACATAGGGAAGTGTTTTCAACATTTCTGAATTGATTGTCAGACTCAACACACATTGTTAGTGCTTCGTCACAGATGTACAAATATGTGTTGAATCAGATTTTTTGTTTGGATTGATTTATGATGATATCCTGTTTGTTTCCTCAGAGTATGATCAGTACACCAACGGGCTCATGCCAAGCATCTTTGGTGTCATCTGTTTCCTCGGGATCTTTGGAAACTCTATCATCATCTACACCATTGTGAAGAAAACCAAGTTCTGCTCTCAGCAAACAGTACCAGACATCTTTATCTTCAGCCTGTCCATCGCAGACCTCCTCTTTCTCCTCGGCATGCCGTTTCTCATCCACCAGCTCCTGGGTAACGGGTCGTGGTGCTTCGGGGGCACCATGTGCACCGTCATCACCGCTCTGGACTCTAACAGCCAGATTGTTAGCACCTACATCCTGACTGTGATGACTCTAGATCGCTACCTGGCAACGGTTCACCCTATTCGCTTCAAACATGTCCGAACGCCCTTCGTAGCCGGGGCGGCGGTGGCTCTGGTTTGGGTTTTTTCTCTTCTCTCCATCACTCCAGTCTGGATGTATACAGGACTCATGCGTCGGAAGGATGGCTCAGTTGGATGCGCCTTATTGCTGCCCAACCCAGCGACAGACACATACTGGT